ATGCTCGCCTCGTGTTCCAGGCCAACACCTCCCGGGGTGCCATCTCGTTGTCTGGCCTGGTGCCCACCACCTCCTACCGCCTCAGCCTCAGCGCGCTGGGCAGGAATGGCCTTCGGAGTCGGGCGCTCACCCTGGTGTGCACCACTTCGGCCGAGAGTAGGTGTCGTGCGTGGCTTCCTCCACTCACCTCCATCAGGTCCCTGGTGGGCACTTACTCGGTCCCAAGCCCCAAGCCTTTCTGTGGGCCCTGGTCCTGCTATGCTAGTTTGATCCCAGGCTCCGAGCCTCATCCCTGGCAGTCTGGCCTAGGAACTTCCTCTTGGACCCCTTAGCCAGCATTGCCAGGCACCAGGAGGCACTGGGGAAGTGAAGGCATGACCCCTCCCTGGAGACTGACACTGAGGCCCCTGGTCGGGCCCTCCTCCCCTCCTTCCCACCCCAGCCTGGCACCCCCCAGAGCTAGCTACGGCCCCCCAGCTGGAGCTCGAGATGGGGCTGGGAGTGATGATCCCACGGGGCATGTTCGGCGAGGACGACGGGCAGATCCAGTGGTACGGCGTCATTGCCACCACCAACACGTCCCGTGAGTCCCGGGCGCTGGACTGCTGCTGCTGCAGTGCTCCTGCCAAGCGTGGGGCAGGCACGGAGCGGCTCCGTCTGGGAGCAGGAGGGGGACCTAGGGCATGCTCGAGGATAGGCCGATGTTGGGTTGTGAAGGGTGGGAACATGCTTGAGAGGTGGGACAGCTCCCCTGTGGTGGGGACAGGGGCCTCAGCCCCTGCTGACCCTACTCTGCCCCTTCCTGGTTCCCCTTCCAGTGGTGCGGCCTCCCTGGGAAGCCATTAACCACTCGTGGTACGACCACTACTATGGAGGACACGACTCCTACCTGGCCATCCTCCTCCCCAACCCCTTCTACCCGGGACCCTGGGCCACGCCAGGATCCTGGACGGTGCCCATGGGAACACAGGACTGTGGCCACACCCAGGAGATATGTAACGGACAGCTCAAGCCAGGCTCCCAGTACAGGTGAGGGCCGAGGTTGAGGGAGGGGAGCCTATGTGGACTGTTCACACGGTTTTTCAACAAAAACTGGCTGACTCACAGGGTATACAAGTGCAGTCCATAAGGATCTACAGAGTTATTTTGACTGGGTTTCCTAGCAGGCAAAGTGAAAAAGGGAATACTCAGCTGTTATATGGTTCTTTTTTAAAAAGGAAATGGGGGGAAGGATTCTTTTCTGCTTGCCAGGGCAATCCCAAGGTATCCAGGCTCCCGTTTCTGGGGTGTCTTTCCTGCAGAACAGGGCAGGGTGGTGAAGAGAAGTTGGAGGTAGTTTGCTTGAAGGTGGCAGGTGACAGAATGCATAGCCTCCAGATCTCCAGTGGTGAGGGAAGGGACTGTGGCCCTGACAGGTTCCTGGGAAGGTTGTCGCATATTCATGCCTCTCCCTAGCAGCGGGTCCCATTTCTCTGCCCAGGTTCAGCGTTGTGGCCTTTTCCAGGCACAGCTCTCCTGAAACCATTGTCTCCTTCTCAGCCTACTCAGGTAGGTCAGGCACCTGGCCGAGGCTCCAGGAGCCCCTGGAGCGGTCAAGAGTGCTGGGACCCCTCTTCTGAGGCTCACCCCCAATGGCAGGAGCGACGGACCTTTGACTTCTGGGAGAACCAGTGCTGCCTGGCAGAGCTGGGAGACCCAGAGCCAGCGAGGAAGGTGTTCAAGGCTCCAGAGCTGCCAGGGCTGGCTGGGGGCAGTATGGTGGCCCTCGATCACATCACCTTCCTGCACTGTCCCTGCCGCCTGGCCGCTCCCAGGCCATCCTGGTTCTAGGACATCACTGTCCAAACGTGAGCCGCATGTGTCACTTAAAACATCGTAGGAGCGGCAGTAAAGAGAAACAGGTGGAATCCACTTTAGGAGTGTTCTATTTAAACCAAGATATCTAAAATACCTTCAACATGTGATCAATTATAAAAATTACCAAGAAGCTATTTCACATTTCTTCTTACCACGTCTTTGAATCTGGTGTGTATTTTGCACCAACAGCAAAACCGGAGTAGCCACATCTGAGCGTGCCACAGCGGCGCGTGGCAGTGGCTGCCTCGTAAGTCAGCGTGGCTCCAGGAGGCCCAGGGCCAGGCCCTTCCTTCCTCTTCTCTGAGTGTCAGGGAGGGGAGTAGGTCCTCGGGGCATGCCCAGACACTGAGTCGGGGGGGCTTCCTGGGCGCGCTCTGTTCTCATCCAGAACGGGCCCCCAGGTAGCCTTCTCTGCCCTTGGCTTGGCGTCTGGGACATCTAGGGTGGGGTGAAGGTGGGGGTTGTCCCTGTGTCTGCCACCCAGAGGCTCCCAAACCCAGCAGAGGCAGGTATGCCCCACAGGGTCATGTTCTACCCTTCCTTGCCCCTCACAGAGCCCTGGGCCAGTGTGCCCCCTACAGTAATGCCCCTGCCAGTAGTGGTGGGCATTGCGGCCGGCTGCGTCCTCACCGTCTGTGCCGTGCTGGGCCTGCTGTGCTGGGGCCGGGCGAAGGGACAGAGGTAAGTGGAGGGAGGGCCGGGGTGGCAGAGCTCGGGGACCAGGTGGGCGAGCCCTCTGCCCTGTGGGCTGCCTCCACATGCCCCTCCACCCTTCGCAGGGCAGAGAAGCTTCGATTTTCCCAAGAGCTGACAACTTTCAACCTGCGGTGAGCACACACTCCACTCCTCCCGATGCCTGGGGGCCATGGTGGCACTGCCAAGGCTCCCCACGGCTGGCTCCTCCCGGACTGCATCTCAGACAGGGCTGCAAGTCTTTGCCAGCCTCCCATTCTCCCTCCTCAGCGACCAGCAAGCCCCAAATGTCCACACTGACAGCACACATGCGCGTGTGTGTGTGTAGAGATGTATTTATTTTAAAGAATTGCATGTGGGCCAGCCAGTGGTTGGGGCCGCTGGTCCTGCATGACCATCTGCATGGTTCAAGTCCCAGATCCAGTGGCTTAGAAGACACACTAGGGCGTACGTGTGGGTGCCCCAAACCCTGAGAGGGGAATGGAGGAGGGATTGCAGCATGGCTATCGTTCCTGGGGAGCGCTTTCTCACTTTCTCTCTCTCCGTCTCTCTCCAGAGAGTGCATGCAATTAAAAAAAGAAAGGAAGGAAGGGAGGGAGGGAGGAAGAAAAAGTAAAAGAAAAGGATTGGGCCATGGTTGTGGAGGCGTGATGAGGCCGAAATTAGATGGGCTAGGCCAGTGGGCCAGAGGCTTCGGAAGGCTCTAAGGCAGGCAGATTTTTTTTTTTTTTTAATTTTTCCAGAGGGCAGGGGTACTCACCAGAGACAGAGAGCTGGGGGTGGGGTGGGGAACAGAACACCCACCGTGGGGAATGATCACACCACAGTCCCTTCTCCTCCATTTTCCCTCCCATCAGGATTTGGGGCACACATGCTCACGTGCCCAGGGTATATTTCAAGCCACTTGGTCCACAGGTTGGGCCGCATGGGATCCAGCCGCCTTAACCACCAGGTCACAACTGGCCCCAGTGAGGAACTTTTCCTTACTCAGTTCAAGACAGCCTCTGCGCTATGAAAGCCGTCCACTGCTTAGACAAGGCCCACCACAGGGCTGACAGTCTGTTTTCCTCAAAGTCAATCAATTTAAATGTTAGTCTTATCATAAAAAACACCTTCCCCAAACATCCAGATGCCACATGTCTGGGCACTGTGGCCCAAGCTAAGTGACACCACATTAACCTCCCTGCTCAGCCTCGGTCCTCTCCTCCCTGACTAACACATGGAGCGCATCAGGTCACATCTCTGCACGGAGGAGGTCTCGTTGCACAACACGGACCAAGCACCGGCATGGAGAGGCCCTTTTCTGAGCCCCGCGAGGGGGTCTAAGAGGCCCGGGTGTGCCTTTGCGTGCAGCTGCTGCTACCGCCCTCGGTCCCATCCTGTCTCCGCACCTGGGTGGCCCGCAGTCCAGGCCAGGTGCCCGGTTGCTTGCTGACTGTGCGCTGCTGCACACGGCCCACCCGCTGTCTGCATCCCCACAGGGCCCGGGCCATGAGGCCGTGCGACCAGGACCGCATCCCTGCTTTACACACCCCCTGGGCAGGCAGGGCAGGACTGCACACCTGAGCCCGGGCCCACCCCATCCTCTCCCAACAGGCGGACCCAGCGGCCCATCCCCATCCACAGCTTCCGGCAGAGCTACGAGGCCAAGAGCGTGCATGCTCACCAGGCTTTCTTCCAGGAGTTTGAGGCAAGGCGTGTTCGAGGCGGGAGGCTGGCGGGGTGTTGAGGCCCGGTCGGGCCTGCCTGCGGGACCCAGCTGCACACAGCACCCTGCCCGTCCCCTGGTGTGGGATGAGATGGGTGGGCTTCAGCTGCCGGGCCTGCCCTGGCCTCTGCAGGAGCTGAAGGAAGTGGGCAAGGAGCAGCCCAGGCTGGAGGCTGAACACCCCGCCAACACCGCCAAGAACCGGTACCCACATGTGCTGCCCTGTGAGTGCTGGGAGCTGGGGAGGCGTGGGCACAGGGCCTGGGCCTGGCACAGAGGAGGGGGCCAGGCACACCTGGGTACCAGAGGCACGGCTTTTGCCCTTGCAGATGACCACTCCCGAGTCAGGCTGAGCCAGCTGGAGGGGGAGCCCCACTCCGACTACATCAATGCTAACTTCATCCCCGTAAGTGGCTGCGGGGTCCCGGTTGGTGGGAGGTGGGGTGGGAGAGCAGACTAGGGGTAGATGGACAGTCTCCACTGCTGGGCCGAGGGCTTGGATTCATATCTGGTGGGCATTGGGAGCCATGGAAGATCTTCGAACATGGAAGTGCAGAGTTTGGTTTTAGGAGAGTCATTCTGAGACTGGTGAACAGGATGGCCTGGGTAGACTGTTTTTGGCGTGTCGGCGTCCTGTTATTTTCATGTAGGCTTTTCTTGCCCCTTTGAGGTGGGGCATGCGGAGATGGTGGTGTTTTGAAGTCACCCCTCCTGGTTTGAGTCCTTTTTCTTTTGTTTTAAATTGCCAGAGTGTACACGGGCTCACCAGAAAGAGACAGAGAGAAAGAGGGAGAGGAGAAGGCACCCCCACCTCCCATGAGGGACAGTCACACCACAGTCCTTTCTCCTCTACTTCTGCCCCCGTGGGGATTCCGGGCGTGCACGCACACGCCCCGGCATTCAAGCCACCAGGTCCGGGAGAGAGTTGTGCACAGTTTGTCAGGAAGGATCCAGCTGCTTTACCCGCCATGCCATGGGGCTGGCATCTGGTCTGAGTTCTTGGTGCACACGTGTGTTCATGGGTTGGTACCTGTGTAGGCATGTACACCACATCCTCATTCCTGGAGTCATACATGGTATACCTACTGCTGGGTGCTGTGTGGGACCCCAGGGACTGGGACCGCCCCTGTTAATGTTTCCTGCCCTTTGCTCTCCATCCCCAGGGCTACACCCACCCGCAGGAATTCATTGCCACCCAAGGGCCTCTCAAGAAAACGCTGGAGGACTTCTGGCGGCTGGTGTGGGAGCAGCAGGTTCATGTCATCGTCATGCTAACCGTGGGCATGGAGAACGGGAGGGTGAGTGTGCTTGCAGGTTCCTGGCATGGCCACCAGGGGGCTCTCGTCCTCCTTGCAGGAATCATTCCACGATACATACATCAGGGTGGGTAGGGCAGGGAGGAGGGAGGCCAATCAGGCCTGCAGGTTGGGGGACCCTCAGGGCCCCCCAGGATGGGGAGGCAAGCTCCTGATTCGCATGTTTCTAGTTTGACTCAGTTTCCACTGACTACTTGCTCTAGGTGAAGAAGGGGCGGGGTTTAAGAGAAGGATGGGGGTAAGGACCACCCCAGGTGGGCAGCCAGGGTAGGTTATTCCACATCCTTTCTTTGTGGGGTCTTTGCACAGAGAGAGGCTGCCGAGTTTGTCACTGGAGCAGCGGGGAA